TTCCCAGATGCTCTGATTGTATACTATATAGATGATATTCTCTTTTCTGCTAGCTCAGAAGGATATTTACAGGAAATGTTCTGTGTAGCCAAACAATTGTTGACTGACTTTGGCTTGCAGATAGCCCCAGAAAAACTCCAGACCGACTGTCCCCTTACTTATTTAGGTCATATTCTCCAAAAACAACAAATAATTCCCCCCAAAATTCGTATTTCTAGAGATCAGCTTCTCACCCTTAATGATTTTCAAAAATTATTGGGAGATATTAATTGGTTACAATCTTCTTTAGGTATCAACCTAGGCTTTGCAACACCTTTTTAAATACTCTTAAAGGGAGACCAGCATTAGACAGCCCTCACTACCTTACAAAAGAAGGAGAAAAAGAATTAGCCTGGGTAGAACAGCGTATAAGTCAAGCTCAATTAATCCATATAGATTTATCTAAACCAGTTATGCTTCTAACTTTTCCATCATCTCATTCTCCTACGACTATATTATGGCAGGAGGAAGCAGTTTTAGAATAGATTTTTCTTCCGCACAAGGAACAGAAGCAACTTATTACTTATATAGATAAAATAGGCCTAATTGTATTTAAAGTCTGAACTCATTTACGACAGTTATCAGGAAAAGACCCTGAATCTATTATTTTTTCCTTAACAAAGCAGCAGGTAGATCAGGCGTTACCCATGAGTGAACGGTGGCAGATTGGACTTGCTGGTTATATTGGAAAAATGGACCATCATTTTCCTAATTCTAAACTTTTACAGTTTCTTAAACGGCATAACTGGATTTTACCTAAAATGGTGCTCTCTGAACCTATAACTGCAGCAGACATGTACTATACTGATTGTAGCGGTAACGGAAAAGCTGGATATGTAGGAAAGATTTCAAAAGTATGGCACGCTCCTTTTCTCTCTAACCCCCAACTTAGGGACAGCTTAAGAAAGTAACCCATGATGTTGAGAAGCTGCTGCATTCCTCTGGAAAATATTGATGGCTGGTAATATATTTTCAGCCGTGTTGGCTGTCTTAGCCACTAGGATAGGCCTTGAGTTTATAGAATCAGGCGTATATGCCTGTACCAATTTATACTAATGAATTTAGGTAGTTTCCTGGTCCGCATGATACACGGGGACCATTTATAATGACAGATAGTTAAATTATAAATCTTCAAAATTGTAATAGAGGGGCTGGGGATTTAGCTCAGTGGCAAAGCGCCTGCCTGGCAAGTGCAAGGTCATGAGTTCAGTTCCCAGTACCGGAGAAAAACAAAAACAAAACAAAACAAAAAAATTGTAATAGAATTACTGCAATATAATTTGGTTAAATGTTTGTTTGAGTGCACTCGGATTCTGTGTAAATGTTTGTTCTGTGTACTTGTTTGTGTCTGTTTGTCATTTTGCGAACAACTATACCCCTTTATATTTGAGCTCAACAAAAATTTTTTTCGTGATACAATTGGGTTGTAAATTCAAAGGCATGCTTTCACCTAAATTAGCAGCTGTTCTAAATGAAGAAATTTAAATAAAGATATTTAACTATGATCCTTGAGCAGAAAAATTATTGGGTAAGACTCCCATTGGTGAATAAAGGGGTGGCCAACCTTTGTTCATTAATAAGGAGCCCCTAGTGCTCTCCATGATTTCTTGGGAGACACCCCCAACAATTTGGTCATGGTTAAAACGTGTTCCAGAAAAAATAAAAAATAAGGTGTTCTCGTGAAAGATGTTCTTAGTACAAAACTAAAGAAACAAAGGTTTTCATATGTGCATGGTAATTTAGTATTGTTAATTTCATAGTGTATTGAAATGTATTCATGATTCCGGATGTATAGGTCTTCAAAATGTAAAGCAAGGATTGCTTATGATAAGACTTTTGTTCAAATTCAGACCTTTGCCTTTGAAAAACTTATGTATATTTCATTAAATGTTTACAGATTAGAGAAAAGCTTATGTATTAATTGGGATGATTGGTTGAAAGGGTTATGTTATGTCAAAATGAAAACTTAAGTATGTTACAAAATGTCATGATTGTCATGTAGCAATGTCACATAATGTTTTGATTTTTAAATTTCTGGGTGCATATATGTAATTGTTGTTTGTTAATATTCTATTAAGATTTAAATATTGGAATATCCATGGTTGTTAAAAAATTATGGTTCCATTTGTATGTTCCAAGGTGTTTGCTATTTGGATTAGATTATGATGTTAAGCTTGTTGCCTTTGTTACAATGTTAGATCATTAATCTTCTCTACTGGATGTTTAACAACTGAGATCTAGAGACTATCAAAAAGCTAATTTTGGCTAAAAACACAGCCAATATTTTGGCTATGCCCTCTGAGTTCAGTAAAGACTGAGGACATAAGAGAAGCTCTGCTGTGACATCCTACAACTCAGTTGAGTCCCTAATTTTTTGATCAAGGAGATTATGGGACCACAGAGGAAAGTGATTCTATGACATATAGTGTGCCTAAGGAGAGTCACCAGGAGAGAAAAAATCTCTCAGGCTTTCACAGGAAGCACCTAGGTCAAGCAATGGCTGTGACTCATCCAGACGGCTGACATTGACAGAAGATCATGAGATGCTGCATTTGGTTCCAAGAAAATTCCTGAGAAGGTCTAACTGACCCTGACAGATAGTAAAAGGTTAAAACTTTTATTTATACAAGTCTCACTCTAACTTGGTCTTAAATATCCAGCAGAAAAGTGTGATCTCAAAATATAGATTGAAGGCTGATCGTTGTTATGGACTTTGAATTATGTTATTTTTGCAAACATCCATTGTCAGTTCTTGCAATATTATCATTGTACTTTGCCTCATCCCCTTGGTCTAGTGAAGTTCATCCAGGAGACTGAGAAACAGAAGACAATTGGCAACCTTCTCACTGATGCTTCAAAGGATTGTATTAAAACAAAAAGGGGGATGTGTGCGGAAAGGACTGATTGCTAAGGGACTGATTACTGATGGTCGGCTTACGATCCCCAGCCATACTGAGTGCACTTGCGTGGGGTGTGGGAGGCTCTCCCAAGGATCGTTACCATCAGCTGAGAGGCAGAAATGGAAAGGGATAATGAATTTCTTCTGTTGGTCTTAGTTACGTTCTTGGTTCTAATAAAAGTCAATTGAGATGAGTAATCAGGGTGGCAGTCCAAGAGACTGTAAGCCCCCTGATCCCAGACTTGTAGCTCTGTTGTTTTTCTTGTCTCTTCTACTTTCCTTTTTCATCCACAGGCACCTTATTCTCAGGACCTGTCACTACAGTTTATACCAACAAGTCAGGTAAAAGTAACTAAAGTGGCACCCTTGTTGAAAACCATGCAAGTGTTTATTCCTGGGCTCTGTATTCTATTCCACCTATCTTTTCCTTGTGAATTCACAAGGGTGAAAAACAGACACCCTACTGTACACTGTGTTGTTAAGCTGTGATGTACAACACCATCACCGCACTGTTTGATTCCTGGAGTTGTGTAGTAAGTTCCGAAATCAGTAAGTAATTTTATTACTCTTTTTATTACTCTAAGTAGCTTTATTACTCTTTTTCCAAGATTGCTTTGGCTATTTGGGTTCCCTTGGTTTTCTGTGTGAATTTTAGTATGGATTGAGTCTTCCAATCTGTGAACACAGATCTCTTTCCATTCTTGGTGTTGTATCAGTCTCCTTTATGTTCTATCACAGAATACCACAGACTGGCTCGCTTATAAACAACAGAAGTTTGTTTCACAGTTCTGGAGGCTGGGAAGTCTAAGACCAAACAGACACATCTAGCAAGAAAGTCTGTGCTACATAACAACATAGTGGAAGGCATCAAATGGCAAGAGGCAAAAGACAGAAGCAGGCAGGAGGGACTTCTCTGATCCTTCCAGCAGGAGCTCACACCTGCAGCAGTGGCTTTAACCCAGGCCTCGTGACCAGATCAATTGTAGAGGTCTCACTTTTTAATACCATCACATTGGTACATCTCAGTCTGATGTTTGGAGTGGACATTTAACCACAGCAGATGGCTTCTTTGACTCTTTTAGCAGTATTGTGTAGTTTCCAGCATATACACATTTTTACTGTGGTAGATTAACTAATGGTCAACTTGGAACACCAAGCTGAACTGAGTCAGCGTGGTGCTGGGTGTGGAAGGCCCTCCTGAGGATTGTCGCCAACAGCATAAAAATGAGAAGTGGAGGGGAAGATGGTGCGCTGTTGATTCTCTTGGAAGACCTTCTCATGCTGGCTTTCCTTTCGTGAACTCACCTGCTGTCATTGTCAGAGGAGCTCAGGTCCTTGCTGTCGCTGAGGACGGCTGTGGTTCTCTTTGGCGGAGCTCTGGTCCTTACCTTGAGTGTTGCTTCCTGGCTCCAGTGCAGATTCCTCAGCCTGCTAGCACAGATCCTTCATCCCGCTTGTGCAGACGTTCTAGCTTCCACCACTGACCTTTGGGCCTTCCCAGCACAGATCCTTGAGACAGACTTGCATGGAACACTGCCGTGGGCTCTAGGCCTCCACCTGAACTTGTAGAGGACATTGCCATGGGCTCTAGGTCTTCAGCTGGACTCAGGCAGGACACTGGCGTGGGATCCAGGGCCTCAGCTGTATTCTTTGGATCTCTATTGTGTGGACAGCTCTCTCGCGGCTGGAGAAGACGCGGAAAAGTCAACCGGTAGGGGCTGCCGGGAAGTGCGTGGGTCCACTGGGTCTGCCCCACTGGGAAGAGGAACAGAACCGGTCAACCCACACCAGCCGCCCTCAGCTTAGCAGGCACCTGAAACCCCGCCCCATCTCCTTGTGCGTCTTAGCCGCTGACCCCAAAGACTTCAATTTCTGGGTAGCCAATCAGACGTCAGCGAAGGCACCTTGGGCGGCTCACTGCGCCTGCGCAAACCTCCAGCCGAGCACGAGGGCGCAAGAGCAGAAGACTATACCTCCCAGGATGCTGTGCGCGTCGCCCCACCCATACTGCCAACACGCATGCGTACACGGAGACTGGTGGGTCCCTCCCTCGTCTGGGAGAGGCGGAAGTGCAGGTTCATCCCGAAGCCGCGCGTCGCGCTGGGGCTTGGAGTCCGTTTGTCTTTCTGGTCGGCTAGTGACCCGGAAGCTTCCCCGGCTGTCGCGTCATGTGTGGCGCCGGCGCAGAGCGGGCGGGAGGCGGGAACGCTTTGAGGCGAGTGCGGCTGGCTGAGCCGAGGCAAGCTTCGGCGGGGCTCTGGGAGGTTCCCGACTCGCAATGGCGCCCCCTGCGACCTAGGCGCCCGCGCGCGCGCGC